TCTTGCTCAGAAATTGAATCCCTAACATCAATAAGTGAATTGGCAATGACTTTGATGCATAACACGAACTTCATAATCAATTTGTTCCCTTTCTTTGTTGATTTCAATTCAATACACAACGAACAAACCCTAGCTTTCATTTGAGCATTGTAATATTGATGAATTTTATCCCACACTTCATAGGCATGTCTACATGAGAGAACTCTATGTAACACTGATTCAGAATCGTAGATAACGATCAAATGAACACAACTTGATCTTGGACCAACCATGCTTCATATTCATTAGAAAACGTACCTGAAACGCGATCTTGAACCGAATTGAATTTCTGTGGAATTTGAGGATTTACCACTACTTTGTGCATCTTTTGCGTCAAGATTGCACCTTCTACTTGTTGATTCCATAGGAGATAATTGTTGTCTTGCAATTTGATGGAGAGTTTTAGTCCAAAGGAATTGTTGGACTTGGAGCTAGAAAATGCATGTTGAAACCCTTGCGATTGAGACAAATTCTTGACGCCTGAATCTTGATGTTCATTAGTGATCTGATCTGATCAGAAGGGGATCACGGGCTGGCCACACGCTGTTGGACTGCTACCTGTTCACCGGTGATGAGGAGGAGAAGGGGGGGTGTACCTGCAAAACACTCCGATGCCAAAGTAAGGAGTTGGGCAGAGTGAGAGCAAAGTACAAAAATTGGGTAAGAAGTGAATTACCTGACCCTCTTGAGGAAAAGGGTATTTATAGAGAGACCCCAGCGCTGGGCCAACGGTCACTTGTGTTGGGCTGGATGGCCAGGCCCAACCCAGGTGACTGCTAGGGCTTACGTGGCGTAGTGAAGACCAGGATGTGGTCTTCGCCCTAGTCCAACTGCTCCTTGATCTCCGGAAAGTGGGTTTGACCTGCTCTTTCGGAGGTGGGCAGTTGGTTGATGACGTGTCCCCGCGGAGGGGAGCACGTGGAGAACGTGCTCGGGCACGGTGTTCTCCCCGCGGAGGGGAGCTCGGGAGGTTCCCCGGAGGCAGGTCGTTCTCCCCGCGGAGGGGAGAACGCGAGGATGTGGAGGAGCCAAAGGTCTTGCTCGACGGACCGGGGTGTGCCCTGTTCGGCCGACAAAAGAGGATGTCGAGACGCTTCAGGACGCGTCGTCCATCCCGGCGGGGAGCGTGCCCTTCCCGTCTTATGGGGCGCGTGTGCCCGGTTGGGCTAGTCCACTTAATGGGCCATGTGCGTTGCTGGGCTGGACCGCGAGGCTGGCCCCAGACCAGAACAATTAGAATTCATGGCGAGCTCAGATGGAGGGATTATCAACAAGAAGAAGAAATTGGAGCAAGCAGAAGATCACAAGCAGTGAATGATACCATGTTAAAATTCAATATACATGAGTTTGCATTATCTGAGTATTTATGCAGAACTTAGAGAAAAGTTAAGTCAATATACATTGTGTGTGTTCTTTACAAAGCCAACTGTGTAACCTATATGCAAGCTGTGGTACTCTAGCTAACGGTTACAATTAAGTCTAACCACCAATTGGAACTCAACTAACTCACACATGTGCAAAGATTAACGGTGTTAGTTGGACTTAACAGAATAATACATCCAATGAAATGAAGGGTACAAACTATTTACAAGGAGATATTTTTATCTCTAACACACACACACACACAGATATATATATATATATATATATATATATATATATATATATATATATATATATATATATATATATATATATATATATATATATATATATATATATATATATATATATATATATATATATATATATATATATATATATATATATATATATATATATATATATATATATATATATCCTAAATTAACGACCTAATATAACTTCTTTTTCTATTTCTTAATGTACCGCATATTAACTCCCTCTCTCATTTTGATTCTGTTTGATAAAAATAGTGGTTGATTGATAAGCTAGTTGATAGCTTATAGCTTATGACCGATGACTGATGATTGATAGTTTATAGTTTATAACTAATGGCTGGTGATTGATAGCTTATAGCTTATAGTTTATAGCTGATGGCTGATGACTTATAACTAATAAGTTAATTTAAGTGTTTGATAAAATTAACGATTTAATTAGTTGATAAATTAAAATAACATAAAATACATTAAATATATAATTGTTTTTTTTAAAATAAAATAAATTATAAAGGATAGTAGTGAATTTTAATTAAAATAATAAGAATAAAAATAAAAGAAAAAAAAATAAGTTATAAGATATAAGCTAAAATGCTATTTAAATAAGCGTTTAAAAAATCAGTTATAAGATAATAAAATAAGTTATAAATCCGTGATGAAATGACTATTACTAAATAGGTCTTTTATTGTTATATGAACTTATAAATTATAATCTATAAACTCAAAAAAAATATCTTGTCAAACAAAGTCATCATTTGTATTCTATATATTCTATATAGTTTAACATAGATTTTCGGTTCAATCCATCACTACACCATAAAGAATTGGTCAATTAGAGTATTCTTAATTTGTGAATATAATCCATCATTCTTCTGTCCTTCCCATGAACATCCATCCTCCAAGAAAAGAAAATAACCAATTATGGCATTCCCATTTCTTTTTAAGAAGACCAAGTCTCTCTATTCTCAATTTATAGTACTTATACTTTGAGTCTCTATTTCTTTTTTCTTCTTAAAATCTCAATTAATATCACCTATTCAAGTATGTTTCGATTGCAAATGTTTTCTGCTTCAGTTTTGACATTGAAAAGACCAAGGCAAGCGAGTGTATGTACTATTTCAAAATTCTAAATCCTTATCATTCATTTCATGTATTTTATTTTACTTTGGAGTAACTAACATATGATAGAAAAGAAAATAATTGATTTTGATAAATGCCCATTCAAAAAACATAATTTTGATGTAGTATTTTATTATTTTCTATTTTACGCTAATTGTTGGAGATCATATGTCTTTTTTGGTGCGATTCTATACGAGCTTCGAACTATCCTTCCTAAATGTTTTTTTAAAAAAATTATTATTTATAAAAAAATTAAAATAAAAATTCTATAATATTTATTATAAATACAATAAAAATTATACTATTTTAAATATAATACATTTTTAAGTGCTATATATTTTTTATAAATTATATAATATGTTGATAAATATAATATATATTTAAATTGTATATAATAATAATTAAATATTTAAAATAAGACAAACTACTAAAATACAAAGAAATTGTGAATTAAACACAACAATTGAATATTAATTTGATAATATTAATGTATAATATATAAACGAAAAAATTATAATATAGATAAAATTTAATGATGTAAATAAAAATTAATGTGCTGTTTTAAAATGAGACAATATAAATATATTTTATTTTTAATTTAAAGATATGCAGATTTAATGGACTACTCATGGCATATACAAACTAGTTTTAATGGATAACAACCTTTTTAAAATTGAGCTAAAAAGTTCAATTCTAAAAGAATATGGACTCTAAACTTTAAAACCAAATGCTATGATTTTTCAAATTTTGACGAATTGATTTATATGAGCTAACCTATTTTAATGCTCTGTCTATATGCAAGATATTTTAAAATATTGTTTTTTTCATAGTTTTGTAATTTGTGTGTAGGTGTATTTTGAATAAGAAGGGAATATTAGACTGTATTGTTTAATTGAAATTCGTCAACTATAAAAAGAAAATATAAAAAAAAATTCTCTAAAATAAAACAATATATCTGTAATGGATTTATCTCTGCTAATATTCCGATATCAATTTTAAATTATAATAATAGACAATATCCATAAACTATCACAGAATAGAAATTCTCAAAGTAAAATATAATCTAAACAATTACAGTGATGATGCATATCAATCATAAACTAACCTCTGATCCATTTTTTTTTGATAAATTTTTTAAATGGTATCCATTTTTTATAATCACTCAAACAATAAATATTATCATAATTTATTACAATTGATTACTTACTATATTTGAGAATTGATACAAACTAATGTAGATATATTTCTCAAATAATCATTGATAATAAATTTTAATAATATACATTATAAATCTAAAATTTACTGTATCATTCTAATTTTAAACCAATATATATTATTTTAAATAGTAAATAATATTATTTTTAATGGAACATATAACAAAAACTTCATATAATATCTTCTTTCTCAATAAAACTTTATTAATTTAATATCAAAAAATAATAAAATTAGTATATATGGTTAATTTACTAAAACAGTTTTAAAATATATATTTATTATCTTGATTGTAATTCTATTTTAAGGTGTCTAAAAAGTATTATTTTTAATATGACATATAATAAAAATCTCATAAAAAAATATATACACATTTATTTTTGTCTAAAAACACAAGTTAATTGAATTAAAATTTCTTTTTTATATTTAAACAAAATAATAATAATTAAAATTTCATGCACAATCATAAAACTTCATATTTAAATTCTTAAATTCAGATTATGATGATCAATTCAACATTATCCGTTAAATTGAGTTTTTAGTATGGTTTAATATGTCTTTTTTTGACTTATCTTCTATTTTAAATATTATCAAACAACTTTAACTTTATTTATAAAATTATTATTTTCAATTTTAGCATAAAAGTAATTTTATAACAAAAAAAACTGGTCAAATGATATTTTGGAATACTTTTATTATAATTAAATTAAAGTAAATTTGAATTTTAAAAAATTAATCAAAGCAAATTTATTTAAAATAAAAATTTTAACATTTTAATAAATTAAATATAAATTTAAATAGATCCAAAGAAAAATAATCATATAAATATAATTATAGTTATTATGAAACCCTTATTCTCCATATAGGAAAAGCAGCAGCAACAACAACGGTTTAGGAAGGTGTTATTCCCTCCTCCAATCTCTCATCTCCCTCTCAAAAATTGAACAAAACAAACTTCGGCTTTGTTTTCAAGCTCAAGTGATTTGAATTGCGATGGAGAACGAAAAGTTGCAGAAAAATTTTGGTATTGTAGATGGAGTGCACTCCAAGTCTCGCAACATGCAAAAGTTTAGGCTCTACGAAACTCGCTCGGTAAATAAATATGATTTTATTCTGTTCCTATCATTGATGCTTACATTAATCTTGTTGCTGCCTCCACGTTCTGAAAGTTGTGAATTTTGTTTTTTTATATTTTTTATTGTGTTAGTGTTACTATGTTACTAAGAGCCTATGATAAGTTGTTTCTTAATAAAAAGAGAGTGTTAGGGTTTACTCTTCGAAAACAGCTTGTGCCAATAAGCTAATTTGGAGGAGCTTATGCAAATAAAATGTAATCGTCTTCATAGACTACTTTCGTAAGCTCCTTCAAACTCTAAGGCTTTGTTTGGATTGATGAAATTGGATGGAGCGGAATTGAATGGAATGGCGTGGTTGTTTGGATTGATGAAATTGGATGGAGAGGAGCTAAATGGGATGGAATGGAATGGAGTGGTATTCCTTTGTGTAGATTATTTAAAATCGGATGGAGCACATCGGAATGGAGTGATAAGGATTTCATTTCATTCCATCATTTACCATCATATTTATTCCCCTCTGATTTGGGCGGAATGAAGAATTAGTCTTGTTCCGTCCTAAATTTTCCAAACGTTGAAATGAAGTCTTCATTTGCTCCATTCTACTACATCCCGCTCCGTGCATTTTATGATATCCAAACATAGCCTAACGCAAGTGGTTATGTCACAAGATAAGTTCAAAAAGGCCTTTCCAAATGCCTCCTAGTTCGAAAAGGGTTTTTGTTTTTTATTTTTACCATGAGTGTGTGTGAGTGTGTGACTATTATGATCCTTTGCAAATATGGTGGACAGCGAACTTTGATTTTCTTAATTTATGTTAAACTAAAATAAGGATGAACTATATTAATATGTATGAACATCTATGTGATGATTGTTTTCCGAGAATAACTAAAGAGCACTATTGGTTTGGTTTCTTACCATTTTTCTATGCTTAGAGATTCTACATGATTGGAAGAGACAAAAACAGAACATTTTGGAGGGTCTTAAAAATTGATAGATTGGAGCCGTCTGAGTTAATTATTGTAGAAGATCCAACATTATACACAGAAACCGAGTGTGGTGACATTTTGAGGTGTATACATGAAGGAAACAAGTCCACAGGCGGGCTTAAATTTGTAACAACTTGCTATGGAATCATAGGTATTTCCTATCTTTTATATTATAGCAAAACATTTATTACTATACTAGTGTTTATTTTCGGGCATTTTGTCTCATGGTATCTCTTTTTATTTAGGATTTATCAAATTTCTTGAGCCATACTACATGCTGCTTATAACAAATCGGAAGAAGATTGGCACAATATGTGGACACGCTGTATATGCAATCACAAAGAGCGAAATGGTTCCAATTCCACATCCAAGTGTGCGATCGAAATTGGCATATTCTAAGGATGAGAACAGGTCTCTAGTCAATTTTACATGTATCTGTAATGTGTCTATGGTACATTTAAGGAGACATAGAAGAGTAACATTCAGAACTACGCCTTGTCCATTGTACTTAACTGAGGATTATCTTGCGAATTACATTTTGTATTCGAGTTCATTAAATCGTGTTCTGTAAAACATTATGTTAGATCGTCATAATTATACTTTTCTTGATGTTTTACATTTTAGTTTTACAATGTGGGCTTCTTCAAGTCAACACTAACTGTTTCTGTCGAAATAGAACTCATAAAGCTTCTACTAGATTTCGAAGTCGTGTAATATGTATAGTAGATTCCTCCTTGTTTTCATTTTCATGTTCGACTTTTCTTGTTAAGCTCATTTTGTGAAAGTGTTCAGGAGCAATCTCCATTGCTGTTGTGATGTAAATATAACTTTTCGAGTGAGGCAACGTATATCCACGGTTTGCATGGGATATCTCTTTCTTTTCATTTTGAAATATACTTTGATTAGAGTTATTGTTATTGATTTCACAAGTTGTTTTTATGCTCATTTTATATTCCTCCATTCAATACAAATCACCTTATAAGTGGATTTTTCTCTTTCTTCTGTTGTGACTTAGATACAAGAAGCTTCTATGCAGTATGGATCTTACAAAGGACTTCTTTTACAGCTACTCATACAATATCATGCTAAGTCTTCAAAAGAACTTATGTGGTCATAATTGTATTGGACAATCACTTTATGAAACACTATTTGTTTGGAACGAGTTCTTAACTCGTGGAATCAGGAACAATCTCCAGAACACTTCCTGGACTGTTGCCTTAGTCTATGGCTTTTTTAAACAGGTACATACCGATTTTTCTAAGTTTTGTTTTTGATGTAAAGTTTTATTAGTGATTCTGTTGTCTTATACTGGAAAATTCATCCCTCAAAGTCGAACTACACGAAAGTTTGACTAACTTAATATAGGACATACTTCTAACATCCTATTGCAGGTATACTTTTTATGTTTTCTCTATTGATAGATAGCTTTAAGACATCCCTTAACACGGAAGAAAAAATCCTAGTGTTTTTCTTCTTGACACGTATTCATTTCATTGTATCGTGTGTAGGAAAACCTTTCTATATCTGGGCGTGAGTTCAACATGATTATCATTGCTAGACGCTCAAGGCACTATGCTGGTACCAGGTTTGTACCTCTCTTTAGCTTTCCTTGAATTCATGATGAAATTAAGATTGCATTCTATTTCACGTATCAGTACTTGTGATCCCGGAGTAATTTCTGCTGTTCTTTACCGGTTTTTTCTCAGCATTTGAACGTCTTGTCATTGCTTATATAATGTTTCTAGACATATTCAAGGTTTCTTTATCTTTTGGTGCAGATATTTGAAACGAGGAGTCAATGAAAGGGGTAGAGTAGCTAATGACGTTGAGACAGAGCAGATAGTTTTTGCAGATGCTAGTGATGGATCCCCAATGCAAATCAGTTCTGTAGTGCAAGTACGGGGTTCAATCCCTCTCTTCTGGTCTCAGGAATCCTCACCATTGAATTTAAAACCTGACATTATACGTACGGTATCTAACCATCTCTCCTTTGTTTCTCACTTATGTTTGGATAAACAATCTAAATTAAGTGCTCATAATATAAGTATTTATGTATAAGCTATTTCTATAACAAAAGATAAAAGAAAGTCACATTGTCTTTTATATAAGTTATAAGCTGTTTTCATAAGGTATTCTGTAGGGTTTATGGAAATAAACTGAAAACAGCTTATGGACATGTCATAAGTTGTTTCCACAAGCTCTCCCAAATTGTCTCACAAGTGCTTATGCTTATTTATTCCTTCAGATAAGTTCAGATAAGCCAATCAAAGCAAGCTCATACTATGTAACTTACCCTAACTGCTCATTTTGATTATTTTTCTCTAGTATCACATAAGGACGCCATGTTTGAAGCCACGAGACTTCATTTTGACAATCTTGTTAAGAGATACGGAAATCCCATAATTATATTGAACTTGATTAAGGTAAGAGTTTCTGAGTATGTTTAGTTTCTGTCTCGTGTCTAGACTAAGACTTTCTACCTTTTTATATTCTTTTGCCTTTTGTGTTTAAGACTTATGAGAAGAGGCCCCGTGAAACTATTCTGCGAACCGCGTTCGCTAAAGCTGTTAACTTTATTAATCAAAATTTGAGCGAGGATGAACACCTGAGGTTTCTTCATTTGGATCTGAATCGGCAATCAAGACGGTAAATTTCTTTTCCTCTTTGGTTCAAGCTCCATAGGTTTTCTCCTGGGTGTTATTCCGATATTAATAGATCAACAACTTTTAGCAGCGAGGCCACAAATGTGCTGTTGCAACTGGGAAAAGTGGCCGCGATTGCGTTGAAACTAACTGGCATCTTCTACTGTCCAGTGACACCAAACACGTGGCTTGAGGGATTATTCCCATATTCCTACTCTGAGTAAGTACCATATCATCACATTGTGATTTGCTGTTGTACTAATGCAAGTTGAGATTTTACTTGATTATTTTACTATTGTTGATCATCTTTTTTCCTTTTGAAATTTAATGCAGAAATAACAATGTCTATGAAACTGATGCGGTAAGGAATGTAACATCTGTAAATAGTAGAAGCAAGTTTCATGTTGATAAGGAAACAAAAGTTGGCAATTGTGATTACAATGGTGATGATGAGAACAAAGATTACAGTGTCAAACGCAAAACACTTCAATCAGGCGTCTTGAGGACAAATTGCATAGATTGTTTAGATCGCACCAATATTGCGCAGTTTGCTTACGGACTAGTTGCACTTGGACGTCAGTTACACGTGTTAGGATTTATTGAAGACCCGCATATTGATCTTGACAACTCTTTGGCAACAGAAGTAATGAAAGCTTATGAGTCCATGGGAGACACAATAGCATTTCAATACGGGGGTTCTGCAGCACACAACAAAGTAATCTTTCTACCTTTTAAAGATTGGTTTTTATTTTTTGGATTGCCAAATGTTAGCATGTTAGTTTATGAAATGTAATATGCTATCAGAAATCCAATGCTATATTTTAAAGATGTATTATAGATTAAGGTTCATTCCTTTGGATATTATACGATTCGTCTTGCTATTTAGATATTTTCTGAAAGAAGAGGTCAATGGAAGGCAGCTGCACAATCCCAAGGACTTATTCGAACCATACAACGTTATTACAACAATTCATGTTTGGATGGTGCTAAACAAAAGGCAATAAACATGTAAGTTAAACAAGACCTTTTTTTGTGATCTTACATGCATTGTGGTTGTTAGTTGTTACCATAGGTAACATTAATGTACTATAAAAAAGTTATATATTTATGGTAGTTGCATTAGAATGAATAAGTTAATGTCTTGTTTGATATTATTTTGTTCAGATTTTTGGGGCATTTTCAGCCACATCAGGGAAAACCAGCACTATGGGAGCTTGATTCTGATCAACATTACAATATTGGAAGTCATGGCCCAAATTTAGCAGATGGAATTGTTGGGTATAATTGGATTTTTCAGTTGCACAACGTTTTTGTCATTTTGATTTTAGAAATTATTTTGGAGGGTTGATAAATGCCATTTTTATTTCTGTTGTTCCACATTTGATGATACTCTTGAACATGTCTTACATTATCCGAAGATTGAAAAATGTCATTTCTTTGCTTAGTAGGCCATTTATTAGAAGATGGCAATCAGACTACATTCTCGGTGAAAATGACGCTACGATTAGGAACTTGCATGCTCCAGACTGTCAGCACTCATCTAAAAATCCCGATAAGCAATCACTTTTGGAGTCTACTTCAGACATATTCACTTGTGAAAGTTCTATTTGTCATTGCTGGTATGCTTAATTCACATTTTTCATGATGCAAACTATGTGTAATTGGATACAAATGATTTGAAACATGTGTTATCAATATTATATAGGAAAATTCATGGAGGAGTGGGCATGGACCAATATTGCAAAAGCGATCACATTTCTTACGAGGAACATGAAGATGCATGTGACTACTCCAATTTCCTTGATGTGGACTGGCTTTCTTCTTCTGGAAATTCGTTAGAAGAGGAACTACTTGAAAGGTGTAGTTGCGAGACTTTGATTGATAATCTTATTTCCATGTCATCATCTTGTTACTTTCTTCATCGTTGACCTCGCGTTTTCTTCAAATCATTGTCAAACAAAGTGGATTGTGTTAGTCGTTTCGCTATGAAACGATTACATGATAAAGAGTAATGCTATAAGTGCTTAACTGAGTTGTTTTTCCGAAAATGACCTTAATCCATCTTGACAATATTGTTGATGATACAGATCAATCAGCATCTCCTCAGACAATATTGTGAGTGAACAAACAACTGAGGTGTCTGCAAGTGAATCTGGACCTATCTTGAAGGTCAGTATATATATTGTTAGTTCTAGAATCATTATGTTTTTGCAACTAAAACTAAACTTATTTTAACTGAGTAGCTCCCATAAAGCTACTCCAAATTGGTTCATAGTTCTTTCTTTTCTAGGATTCAACCAATTGGTAATCAAATTGTTTTCTTTCATTGTGTTTCAGGAAAGGCAAAGTGAAGAAGAACTCAACAAAAATGGATAGCATACTCATAGGTTTGAAAATTTGGTGACTCCGGGTGAGATGTGAGATGAACCTCTAATTCATCTGAATAGGATTAATTATGATGATTAGAATTTACTATTTTAGTTTTAGTTAGTTCGTGTAGCAGAATTTATAAATTTGAATTTCATTATTTTTAGGATAAGATTTAGGTTGTAATTGAATTTACCTATTAAATAAGATTATTATCATTTAAATTTAAATGATAGGGAGAAGTAGTTATTAACCTAATTTAATTAGGACTCTTCTTCTATTGTAAGCTTATTTAAATAAGTATTTAGATTGACAATAAAATTCATCAATAATTATTATAAAAAATATTTGTAAATTCAAGAAGAGACTCTATCAAAGACGAGTCATTTTCCGCCTCACAATAAGTCAAAGTAAAAGTTGTACTGCATCTAGGACTATGTCAACACTATCCAAGACAAGGGACCATAACAAGATGTTTTATGTTTGAGACTTTACCCAATGCATGTAGAAGTTGCAGAAGCTAAGAAGCTGATTTTTGTTCAAACATTCAAAATTCATCAATCATGTATATAATTTGATTTTCAAGGGAAAAATCTCTTAAAAAGATGCAGTGATACTCAGATTACTATAACTGGCACGTCCAATAAAATATTTGTAATTAATTTTTTGTTTCCTAGATCTGTGAGCCTTTGATATATAGTGTATTTTTTTGAATAGATAAAACAGTGGTATTTGATTTGATGTTTTACTTCTCATAGCTCATCCTGTGATTTTGTTAGGGAAGGTAAGTAGAAGGGGGCAGATTTAATTATACCCGCACCCATTTCTATGTAACACATTTGTTCCTGCTCTCAAACTCAATCGGGGTAAAAATTTACCGCTCATATCCGCCTTCAGTGGAGAACATGTGCACTCGCATCCGCCCTGCCTCCATCTGCAAAAAATTAATTTCTTTTCAATTGCAATAAAAATTAATAATTTAATTAAAAAGTTGATTATTTTAATAAATTAATTATTTATTTAATTAAAGATTTAATTAGTAAATGAATATTAACTTGATTAATTTGATTATTTTAATTGCGATAAGGGTATTAATAATTTAATTAAAAATATAATTAATAAATGAATATTAAAATAAGTAAAATAAGAGAATTAAAGTGAAATACAATATTTGGGGGCGGGTCTTAGTGTCTTCCCTCCCCCGCACCCGTAGTTAAAAACCGAATTTCTCCTGCACTCGCACCCGCACCCAATTAAATCGAGTTTTTCCCGTTAATTTTGGGGCGGACCCAGGCAAATGCGGACGGGTCCAAGTTTGTTTACCATCCCTAGAATTTGCTTGATAAACACTTGCATCCTTCATACAAAATATCAAGCGCATTATTTTCAGAGATAAAGTGTCTTGCTGATGATTTTTCCTTGAGCATTGTTTGTCTCTTGGTTAAATCATCTTTTTATTAATAATGTCATTAGCATAAATAAGAAGTATAATTAAATTTTCTTTTTTAAAGAACATAGTGTGATTTTCTTGACTTTTCTTATAGCCTAAGGACAATATTTTTTTTTAATCTTTCATACAATGCTTAAAAGAACTAACTTAGTGCATATTCGATCTTCCTTAATTGTTTGTTGATGTGAGATCATAGCATGAATGAATCTTCATTTACATCTCATCCCCGAAGTTTTCAGACAAAAATGCATTGTAAACATCATATCATATTGGTATAATAGTTCTCAACCGGAGTAAGTAGTGTGAGATGATAAGTGTCGTATGGACTGGGTTTGTTGTATAGTCAATGTCATATGTTCAAAAATATACTCTTCCTCGATGCACTTTACAGGTGATCAAGCCTAAGAATAAGCGGGATCGCAGGTTTAGGAATCAGAAAGCTTTGCAACAACATCATATTTTAAAATGCTTATTTACTTGAAGGGATGCAGATGGTTTTTTCGTTGATAGTGTGTTGTGCAACTCTGAGAAAGATAAATTGGACCATAAGGGAGTTCATATTAAAGAGAAAGATGCAAATGTGAGCTCTAATGTCAAGCAATGCCTTTGTAAGGGTGCAGATGGTCACTTCACAGCGGCTATGAAAGTGTTGGATTCCTCTGGTGTATCCCCCTATAATGCACATATTATGAAGGTTTTGGAGGCTAAACACTCGTACAAACCATCCCCTCAATGTCGATCACTTTGTTCTCTAAGCTCCTTTAGTGGTTGAAGTTGATATTGTCTTCAAGTGCATTAAGTCATTTCCCAAAAGGATTTCATGTGGTAGAGATGGTTTACGAGCTTAACATTTATTAAACAATATGTGAAGAGGGTTCTTTTGTGTCTAAAGATCTTTATGTGCAAAAACTCTAGTTGTTAACCTATGGTTGGGAGGGAGATACTCGATGAGTTTGGTAGAGTCTGTTGCTTCATCACTTTTGACGCCGTTATTGAAGCCTGATAGTGGGATACGACTAATTACTGTGGGTTCTATTTGGAGACGGTTGGTATCCAAGGTTGCAATGAAAGAGGCCAGTATGATGTGGCATGATATCTCAATGACTTCTAGTTTGAAGTTGAGGTATCGGGTGATTCTGAGGCGATTTTGCACAGTGCTAATAAGGTGTTGAGTAAGCGACACGGTGATGGCTCTTTGACTATACTCACGATATATTTCACGAATTCTTTTAACCTAGTAGATCGATCAGCCATTCTGCAAGAGATTAGGGTGAGATGCCCGTCTATTTTCTTGTGGGTTGAGTTTCTCTATGGTTAGGCAGTTATACCTTGAGGATAGCCATTTATGTCAGCAACTGGAGTGCAACAAGGTGACCCGTTAGGGCCGCTCATTTTTGCCCTTGTGTTACACTCACTTATTTACCAAATTTGTGACAACTATAAGCTTCTTCTTCATGTCTGGTACCTTGATGATAGGACCATCATAGGGGAATCAAAGGAGGTGACTAAGTTCTTCAACATCATTTGGGAAAACAGTTTAGGATTATACTTGAATTGAATATTCATAAAACTGAGATTTTTTGGCCTTCGTGTGATGATAGTAAACTTCATAGGGAGTTGTTTCCTTCAAACATTGGGACACCGATGTTGGGGATGAAGTTACTTGGATGGGCTGTTAGTTGAGATGAAGGTTTTATCGAGGGGTTGTCCACGAAGATAACGGCCAAGGCTATTGATCTCATACATATTCTACCACAACTAAGGGATCCTCAGAGTGAGCTTCTTCTACTTCGTTCTTACATGGGTATCACCAAACCCTTTTTTGGCCTTAGAACGTTTCAACCTAATCACATGGAGAAAGCTTTTATTTGGTTTGATAAAGAGTTGCGAAGGGCGGTTGATGGAGGTCCTTTCTTCGAGGACCTTCAATGGAGGGTGACTTCTTTACTTATTAGAGTCGGGGGATAGAGTTTGTACTCTGCCATAGAGGCTACCTCATACGCTTTTGTGACTTATAGGATTCAATCTTGGGTGTTACAGGATCATATATATTGAGCGGCACTAGGATATATGGTATGGATATTTATTTTGATAGAGCTTTAGAAGGTCTTAGTGTTGTGATTCTAGATTTTGACCTCAGCGGCTTTATTAGGAAGGACAATGTCCCTGCTAAAGCACAACATTTTTTAGTGAGTGTCCTTTTTAGTAAAAGCGTTCAGGACATGGATGTGAAGTTTGACATGACCATAAGAGAAAAAATAGTTTTTGGTTGTTTGCAAGCAGCACATGCTCAAGATTCTCTCCTTGTTATTCTTATTGACAGTCTAGGCCAACATATGTATCCAATAAAGTATTATACCATCCTTAAATATCGACTTATGATTTCTTTATTTTCTGTTGATGAGACTTGCCCTGTTTGTCGTAAGACGTGCTTGGATACTTTTGGGAACACGATATTCATTGCAAGGAGCTTCAAGGACTCAAATACGACATGACTTTGTTTGGGAAGGCATATTTGATATTTGATATTTTTCAGTGAAGAAAAAGGCGCCTGTAAATTTCTTGACTGGCCCACATGAGGCGAGATCGACTTTTAGGCCAACACTATTTTGGTGTACGGGTGGGTAGGAGGGAAACATGCATTTGTAAAATTGACTGGGATTTCTCCACTGGTTGGACTGAGGACTGGAGGTTTTACAGTGGGACAGACAACTCTCAAAGTTGTTTCATGTAAAATGGTCAAACATGAAAAAGCGTGTTCCAATAATAAACATGTTTTTATACCATTTGTCTTTGACATTTTTAATTTTCTAGCACCAGAAACAGTTGATCTTTTACAGATAGTACAAAGGTTAATACTTAGCAATGTTGTGTCACTTAGAATAATGAATATAGATTTTAAGAGGATTGATTTTTTCCATTCAAAAAGGGATCACAGTGCAGTTTGATGCCTTGATTATATATAAATTTTCTCCTATTAAAAAGGTGTCATATGACTCATATTTTATTGTATAAATTCACGCATTTAAGCGACTTCATTTGAAAATCACAAAATGAATGATAACTTTTAGTCCTTGTCTTAGCTTCAGGTGATATAATTTTTTTTTAATAATGACAATAATTTCCACCATATTTAGTGTAGGCATTAATAGTTTTTTAATTTTCATTTTGCTTTTATGTAAAATGGATAAATTAAAATAAAATTTTCCTTTATAAAATTTTAAATTGTTTCATTTTCTTTGATATCATTCATCATTGATTAAAAAGTGATTGCTTAAAATGAATTTGAATAAATCTTTAACTATCACTTACCCGAAAACACGTGTCTTTCTATGGGTCTCGCGTTTCATAGTGATTAAAAAAATCAATCATTTTTGTGGAGGAATTTTTTTGACATCCCCAAAATTCAACTTGGCATTTCTAGACCCCTATGCATTTATTATAACATTCTTTGTGATATGTTTTTGAAAAATTTGTATGTTTTTCAGAATTTTTAATTTTATTTTTTAATTTTTGTTGGATTTTTGAAGAATTTCTCAAGTTTTTACTAGATTTTTGA